TTATAATGTGCATAGTGGAAAAAGGAATTGAAAGGGGAAGATTGATACAAAAACTGACTGAGTCTTAAAAATTAAAAGCAGTAGTTGAGTTGACCACCACCTTTACCAAAGCTGAAGGGAAGACAGTATTTCATTTTAGCTGAATTACATTACTTCCCAGCTCCTGTGTATTGCTTAATAAATAAGGGACTTGCATGAAATTCAGTGTCTAATTATAAAAAATAAGTAAGATAAGATATTTTTCAAAAGAGAGCGATTCTGCCTTTTCATAACAAGCAGCATCTACTTTGTTTTTCTCCAAACTGGGAGGTAATTAACTGACAATTCCAGGCTGTACTGAAAATGACAGATGACTGGATTGGGAGTAGGAAGAAAGCAGAAGTCCTTTTGTACTAAAGAAAGGGGGACGGCACACTATAGTTGGATCTGGTTCTCTTTTACAGGTCTCTTTCAGAGCTGAAGCAGTTCTGGGTGACCCCGGCCAACTGATTTTATTGTTTAATTTCTTAATGTCAGTGACAGCTGTTGCAGGTCCCAGGTACAACAGCCTTTCCTACTCAGTCAGTTTTATAAATCTTGTCATTTCTTCTTTGTGACCGTAAAGACACAGGTGGTGTGGAAAGAAATCTGCTTGAATGTAAGACTTATGGGTGGTTTTGGTTTGGACCTTTTTTCTGCTAGTTTTGAGCTTAAGTTTTCTCATCTCCTGGTTTATAAAAGTCAGAACAGCCCCTGTTTGTCTCACATGGTGATTAAACTGCTTCACAAGTGTGCTTGAGATCTGTAATGAGTAAAATTGTGAAGCTGTTCTGGCAGATCAGCTGTTCTGTCTGGGTCACAAGCAGCAACACTTATTGATTGCACTTGGGCAGATTTGCAGAGACAGTTGTGATAACAGTTCAGGGTGTGTGAGAAGTCAGGGCAGAGCATGAGGAGGATTTCAGCTGCCTCAGAAGTTAAAAGCTGCCAATTATGCTCCTAATGCTGCTGAGCACTGGCGTTAGTTTATGGTATGGCTTTGGGCAAGCCCTCCATGCCTCTGTTTCCCTGTTTGCAGAATATGGATATCTGTATATTTATATGTGTACACATCTATTATCTGTTAGCATACATCTATTCCATCCCTTTGATATTGTTGCCTTTAGTGCTAACCTAAAGCTGCAAATCAAAATGAGACCAGCTCACCAATATACAGCAAAGTAGTTACCCACCTCATTCATTATCCTGCTCTCTAAAGAACAGACACAGAAAACACATTTGGACAGGGTTTTTTCCTTAGCTTTGCTGTCTGATTCCCTAATTAGTCCTGTCACACAATGTTCCAAAGATGGGCATGTGGGGATAGACCAGAAATCTAAATCTTGAATTAAGGTTTTAGAGAAACTCTACTGACAGCAGTTAAGTCTTGTAGATTTTCATCCTTGGTGTCCATTTTAATATGAGCTGACAAAAAATGTGAATTTGTTGCCAGTTCTGTCTGTATGTGGTTTTGTTTCAGTTTTGTTTCAGTCTGTGGTCTGACTTTAAACTACATCCTCAGGTTTTTCTCAAGGTATTCAGCATCTTCCTAGAGCAGGTTGTATTTGTTGCTCTTTGGTTGCATCAGGCATGTTTGAAGCAACTTTGTTCCAAGACAGACCCAAATATGTAAAAAATTGAATAGTTTTGGATTTTATGGCTAATGTCCCTGGTTTGATTATCACACTGAGGCTAACATGGGTTGAGGTGGAAAGAAAAAGGCAAGAAAGTAATATTAATGCACTAAATCTCAACAGCCCCATTCCCAGCATTCCCCATTCCCTCCATGCTGTGCCTACATTCCTGTCATTCCCCCTGTGCTGCACCCACTGTATCCCTGCACATCTCAGACAGAGGTGTTTATCCAGGCAGTCCCCCCACAGCTGTCAGAACAGTCTCGTGGCAGTAAATTTTCAACTGGGAAGAAAATTGATCAGGGCCTGTCTACATCTATTCCACATTCCCTGTGGCGGAATGTCCGATTTTCCATGGGAGCAAGCTTTGTGTCCTGCCTCATACATCGGGCTGCTGAGATACAACTTCTACACAACACACAGAGAGTTACCTTATACAAGCTGCAGCAGGACAATGCAGAATCACAGCGTGAAATTTGGAGCATCTTCAGATGTGCTGAGCCCATCAAGGGTTTGCTTTTTTAAAAAAAACACTACAATACTTTGAAAGCAGGAAATGCGTCAGAGGAAGAAAGGTGCATGTTATAAATGTATTTCATTACAATTATTGTGCCAGATGCCTTTAAAAAAAAAAACCACTGCAACAAACACAAAGTTCCTTAAATTGTCAGTAGTGTATTGTAGTTCATGATGATGACAGATCCTCATGTCTGAGGAGAACAGCCTTAGGAACATGGCATTAATACCACTACTCCAAGCAGCAATTTTAAACCTTTAGTGGCTGCTTGACCCATTTTAACAAATATTCCTCTGATCTATTGATAGCAAAACCCATACGTTTATTTCCCCAGACTGCTCTGAGAAGTTTAAAAAAGTATCCAAAAAAATGTCAGACACAAGGATTTTTCTTACCTTCTTAAAATACTCAGAGCTAATCTTGGATTATATTTTATCATCATCAACTGTCATAGAACATTCAAGCTATTCCTAGACTGCAAAAAAAAAAAAAAATTGAAATTGAACCTTTAGCAAAACAATGTCTCTTTGCCTTTTTCACCCTTACTCACAGCTATGTCAGGATTTTGGCTTTTGCTGTAGCAAAGCTACACAGTATTGCACAATAAATTGTGTGTTTCTATAAAGTATTAACTTGTTTGCAAGCTGGGGGAACATTCTACATGGATTGGTTTGCGAGCAAGTACATCTCAGCAATTCCTCAGTCAGGAATGTCTTTCTGTAACACTCTAATCTCTGCTATTTCTGAAATTTGTGCTTGTTTGATTTTCTAGGGCTGCCCTTTTACAGTCAGGCAGCTGCAGCCCCATAAAGTAGCTGTCATTCAACTGGCAGCTGTTGGCCATAGCTGGCTTTTCAAGTCCAGCTAAAAGTAGCTCCTATAACTTCTTTGAGATGTTATTTAACTTAGAGAAACCTACTATGAACTTCTGAATCCCCGTCTTGAGGGCATACATGAAACACGAGATTGTGTAGGACTGTTCTAGGAACAAATACTGGGGACTTGAGTGATCTTGGAATCCAGCTCTGATTTCATCAGTCTTGGTGTCACTTCTAAATGAATCATTTCTGCATCCTCAGAAAGAATGTCTGAAACGTTTGTAACATCTCAATTCCTAAAGCTCCTTTTCTCCACCCTTTCCAATGCTTTGAGTGAAGTATGGGAAGAACTCACATCTTCCCTGAAAACCTGGGAATAAGTTAAAACCCCTTAAAGACAATGTTGTGAGGATGAGGAAATGAACTTGCCAAGGGTTTAAAGCACAAATTTAATTCAATCTTTATCAAGCTGCTTAAGCATTTATAATGAGAATGTTAGCAGGCAATGTTTGCAGAGCACTATTTATAATCTGGATTGTCTGAGGTTGTGGTAAATATTCTGATGGTACTCTGGTCTTGGCATGGATGTAACCACAACCCCCCTGGCAGACACCAGCTGGGGAGAGCAACCAGTGCCACTGTTTATTTTTTTAAAAAGGGGTTTAATTGGAGGCTGAATATGTGCATCTCTGTCATACAACAAAGTATCAGTCACCTGTGCCTAAATTGTAGACTTTGGTCCACAACAATCCTAAATTTACATGAGCCCAGCTGTGGGCTCTGCAGCTGAGGTCTGGACACTGTGGTTGTGCCACTTCGAGTGCCCACTTCCAGTCTTGGCATCTTTTTGGAGGTGGGGAAGGGACAAAAGTAACCCTGTAGTAACTCATCCCTTCAGGGGGTGGGAGTACAGTGCTAGAAAGGAATTTCATGTTCAGAAACCACCTTTCCTTTCTAAAGCCAGAGGAAAGCTTTTTATTTATGCCTTTATCAAAGGACTGAGGCCTGATGTTTACCTGAGCAACTGCTTTACTCTGTAATTAAAAGTATTTTCAAGCTAAAAGAATGTCAGGAGGGTCATCCATGCAAACCCTGACATTAGTTGCCTGTGCAATCTCAGTTTTGGCCTCTGTGGATGCTGTAATTGCCATGTATGATGAAACTATTTGTTCCTGCAGCACAGGTGCCGTAATCCCTGCTCAGGAGGGATGGCAGTTGTCAAGGTACGGCCGACCCGGTGTGTCCTTTGCTCTGAGCTTGGTGAGCAGCTCTGCACCCCTCGCTGTCTGCTCAAACACTGCCTAGGCAGCCTGGGATGGATTGGAGTTAGAGAATTTCTAAATTAACTCCTCCCTGCTGGCTCCACGCTGTGGTAGATGGCTCTGTTTTACAAAGTGGGGACACGGACAAATTAGGCAAGTATTGTGCACAAAGCCAGTGTGATTTCTTCTCCAGATAATGAGGACACGGAGCCTCGATAGCAATGTCACAGAATCCATTTGGTTGGAAAAGACCTCGGAGGCCAGCGAGGCCAACCAACACCACGATGTCAACCAGACCACGTCCAGCCTTCCCTTCAGCACCTGCAGCGACGGTGCCTCCAGCACGTCCTGGGCAGCCCGCTGCAGTGGTTAATAACAGTGGTTAATAACAGTGGTTAATAACAGTGGTTAATAACCATGGCGGCGGAAAAATTCTTCCTGATGTGCAGCCAGAACCTCCCCGGCGCAGCTTTCACTCTGCCCTTTTGTCCTATGGCTAGTTGCCTGGAAGAGCCCGACCCCCGCCTGCCTACACCCTCCTTTCAGGTGTTCGGCCCGGCCCACGCTGCCTGTCCGCTCCCGCTCCGACACGAACGCCGCCGTTCCCGGTGGGCTCCTGAGGCGGGGCCGCGGCGGGGCAGGTCGGCCTGGCACTGCGCACGCGCGGGGCGTGCCCGCGCTCCCGACGGGGCGGTGAGCGCGCAGGCGCCGCTCCCGCGGAGGGCGCCGACAGGGCGGCTCTCGCGAGAGTTGCTGCGGGGGCGGGAGCGCCCAGCGCTGCGCGGTGAGTTCCGGGCGTGTGGAGGGCCGCCGCCCACCGGGGGCCGTGCCGGGGCGGGGAGCGTGGAGGGCACGCGCTGAGCCCCCGGTGCCGCGGCCTGCGCCCCGCGGTGTTCCGCTCTCCTCGCTGAGCTCCGCAGGACTCGCCTCGGCGCCCGCCCCGTGTCCCGCCGGGCCCCGGCCTGCCTGGGGCGCGGGGCGTGGAGGGGATGCGGGCTCTGCCGGTGGGGGGTGGTTGGAATAAGCTCTGGGTTCCAGAGGCGGCATCTGCTCGGCGAGGTTCCCGGCTCACGCACGGGGAACACCGGGCGGGGGTCGCTCTTCCCTCTGCCCTGCGGCTGGGGAGTGCTGGCCGGTCGTGCTTCTTGGGGCTTATCTTCTGTATTCCCCAAAAAGAGTTCCATAACTTAAGGCCGCTTCCAGAGGTTAAAAGGCTGCAAGTACCCTGTAGGCAGGATAACATCCCTGCCGCACTGTCTCCAAACTCTTTTAGGGTCGTGCTTCAGTCGTGAGTTTCTGTGACGGAGAAGGTCGTTTTTCTCTTGGCCTCTTCCTCCTCTTACGAACTTCCTTCTTGAGAGCCAGTGCTGGTTTTGTGGGATAAGGTTTGACTCGCCAGTATAGTTTCAAATAATCTGTACAAGACAAGGATGCGGCCTTGTTAACTCCCACAACATCTGACTCAGACACCTCTTTTATAACCTACAGTGAAAACTGTTCTGTAGCACAGTTACTAACTGCAAGAGCAATTCACAGATACAGTGCTTAGGGAAATTAATTCTTTGTTTCAAAAACCATTAAATGCCCGGGGTCAAGGGACAAAATCTGAAAGACCACAGATGGTTAATCAATCTTCAAACAGGGTGTTGTTTGTAATCCATTTCTGTGCCAGCTTTGGGTATTGAGAATTTGTGCCATAAAAAGACCTTTCAGTTGTTACCATCTCTTAGGTTACTGACATGCAGTATTTTGAGTATTTCATAATACCAGCTAAGCTCGTAACATTTAAAGCCGTTTTAGACAGTTTAAAATAAGAAGAAAAAAAAAACAAACCTGCCAGTAAATAAATTCTGGCAGAGGTGAAGTTTTCTGTTACCTGATAAAATGTTTTGATCTGATAAGTATTATCTGTGCTTTGTGCTGTAGCTTAGTTTTGTAAGTGATATCTTGAGTTGCCTGGTGCTGAAGGAAGTTGAATCACTTTAAGCTGGTAGATCAGGGGGATAATTTGTGATCCTGAATGTTCTGGGGTTTATATGTTAAAATTATAATTTATATTTCACTTTGTTTCTTTATTATGTTATACTTCCTTATTTGGTTAATTTGAATTAGTGTTCTGCCCTTACAATTTTACTTTCTATTCTTTTGTCTAGAGTCTGACACTTGCATTTCTGCATGTCTTCCAGATGATGTATGCACACATTTTTCTTTCTACCACCCTCAGTAATGTTTTGTTCTAAAACAGCTGATGAAGTTTAGGACCTGATTCTTTCCAAAATCTCCCAGTGAATCTCTCTTGCCTCTCTTGACTTTTCTAAACTGTCTGTTGTTCTATTCCTGCCTGTATCACTTTCCAGAAGAGCAGTAAAACAGTGAAAAGAGAACAATGAGAACACTCTCTTTTGTTTAAAAACCATTATGTTTCTAAGAGTCATGTAAAAGCTCACTTTTGCCTGTGTGCTTTTTGAAATATCTGTTGAAGTGAACATGACAACTGTTTCCTGTTGGCCACAACAGGGAGGTTTGTCTTTATAATTACTTTTATTCCATCCTGAGCTGCAGCACTACTACTAATGAGCATTTACTGTTGGCTGCATCTGCTGCCTTTTCTTCCTCTCACCCCTCCCAGTATTTTTAAGAGCAAAGGAAGTCTTAACCCATGTCACAGTAAGGTGAGAAACATTGATATTTTGAGAAGACTTAGTCATTCCTCTAGCAAGATCATCTGATAGTTTTTGTACCATGTAATCATTGTATTCATATATTGACTGTTATTCATCCACACCAGGCTTACTCCCTTTGCAGTCTGTGCATGGGGCTCACTGTTGCACTGCTCTCTGCCTGAAGCAGATGCAGCTGTGCTTTTTCCCCCCACTCATGCAGTTTGTTCATGTTTTAATAACGACATGGCTGAATGTGTGTAAGAACTTACATTTTCTGCAAGCAGAAAATGCTTCCTTAAGAGACTTGAAGGGAATTGTGCTTCCTGTGTTTCCTGACATTTGCTATGTGAGTATCTTGGTTCAATATTTTCAAAGCTTTTCCCTCTTTCAGAAGTAACTTTAGTGCCTAAACTTCAGCTTTTGTCTGCAGTCAGGAAGGGTAGAGTTTTACTCCACACTGCAGCTGCTGTTAAAATTGTTACCTGGAAACTTCACTCCTTTGTATGTTGACAATATGTCTGATGGTGGTAGCAGTACTAATGCATGTTTAAAGAGTATTGCATGATGAATCTCTTTCATCTTGAATTGTGCTGGAAAATTTCCCAACATTGTGCTGTTACTAAGCTCAGGGAAATGCCAGTATAGTTCTTGGAAATGCTGCATCAGTTTCTCTAAGAATCTTGTGCATTAACACCTTCATTTAGAAAAACTAATTATTAGCTGGTAGTGCAATGCTGGGTAGCAATACTTGTGTGCCCCCAAAAAAGGAATATTTAAAAGTGGAAGCAGTTTCTTTCTTTAAATGTCTCAAGCCTTTAGTGTGTACTTTAAGTTGTGCAACTTGATGTTACGTTCTTAGGTTTGGAACTTGGGGTTTTCAAGCCACGCTCCCTTGGCTGAAGGTGTTTGTCCTCATATGTGGTGTGGTGGTGTTAGAAACTCCCAAAGGTTGCTGCCAGTAATATTTAAGAAGGACTAGAAATAGATGATGTTTACCATGAAAGATACAGGACTGGTAGTTGAGCAGTTTACATTTTCCATTGCTTCATGCACTGTCATTGATGTTGCACTTTAATGGTGCTATAATAGCAGAAAATTATCAGTACCATCAGTTGACAAACCCCAAGAGGCCAGGTTGGAAAGGTGAGGAGATGGTGAACACAACGCAGTAGAAGCAGCAAAGAGAAAATACGTCTGGTGAAGGGAAATAATTACTGCTGTTTGGATGAGTGTGCTGGGATGATGTGGAAGACTCACATCAGAAAGAAGGTTTTTCATCGGCCTTGAGACTAAAATTAAGTCCTTCAAAATTACCAAAATGTAGTTAAGATGATCCACTTTATGGATTTCATTATGTGTGTTGGTTGAAGCTTGGATCCAGTACATTTATTTCCTAGCACAGGGAGATTGTTCTGTTAGGATCTTTGTGACAGGTGACTCTGTTTTCAGCCTTGCTGACATTTCAGTGGTGCTTTGTAGGAAGACCAGAGAAATCCCAAAGCTCTGTCCATGTGGGGACCCTGCTAAGCTGGTCTTTTTTTGATCAAGGTGAATCCTGTAAATACTTCCTCTCATTCTGACAGATTCCTGTGATAGAATCTCAGTTCCAGTGTTTGCCTCAAGCTTCATTATTCTCTACAGGGAGCTGAAGGTTGGGCAAACATGGAGCTCATGGAATATAAGCATGTTAATTGCTGAACTGTATTTATGTAAGGCAGGTTTTTCTCTGAAATGAAAAATTACTGTTGCCATCTGCTGCCTTTGCATGCAGCAGGGCTCTTTCTGGGCCACAACCACAGAGCCTGAATTAGCAGGTGCGTGGGTTCACCAGTGTTTGTCAGATCTCTTCAGTCTTGAATTGTCATTGACAAGTGCCAGCTCTCTGTTAGCTCTTCAAGGGGGTATTCGTGGTGGGTTTTAACTTACACACTTTCTTGTGTTTTGGTGATTTTTTTCTGATTATTTAGCTTCTGTGCTATCAAGTATAGTTGGAGTTATGGAAAATCATTCCTATTCAAACCTCAGGGCAGGATTTAAGCCTTTTCAGTGGTTTCAGTGTGTATATATGACTTGCCAGCTTTGATTTAATGTCTTCTCCCAGCCGCTAAGAGACACAAACTTGGTGATTGTCACACTGAATTACAAAGATTTTTAAACGTGTTCTGCTGCTCAAAGCACTGGAATTTCAGGATGGTTGCTTTTACTTAAAGTCAGCCCAAACTTTTCTTCCTGTGTCATATTATTTGAGGACACTTTCTGATAGGCATTTCCATTCCAAAAACCCAATAGCGCTCTGCTTTGTCCAGCTTGTATTTAAATCGACATGAGCTGTATGAATGGCAGAACCCAAACCAGAAGCGAATCTCCAGACGGGTTTTTCCCAGGGCAGCCGGTGGGGAGCGGAGCGCATCCCCGCCTACCGCGGGCTGTGCCGGTTCCGTGGTGCCGTGCCCGGGGCTCTTCTCCCGGGCCCTCGGGAGGCCGGCTGGCCACGTCCTCCCCCCGTTACATCGCTGTAATTACCGCTGCGAGGAGCGGGAGAGATCCCCGGGAGAGGCCCCCCCGGCAGTGGCTCCCGGTCTCGGTGCCGCTCCCGCCCCCGGGAGCGCCGGGGCCGTCATTGGCCGCGGGACGCGTCACTCGGGCGAGCCGGGCCCGGGCGAGCGGCGGCGGGAGGAAGCGGCGGCCGCGCCGCGCCGGGCAGAGGGAGCGGCGCTGGGCGCGGCCCCGGCCATCGATCCGTGCCACTTCCCCTAATGGCCCGTCTCTTCCTCCTCCTCCCCCTCCCCTAGGGCGGATCGTCCCCCGGCCTCCCTGTATGTGAGAGACGGGGCCGGCGCCTCGCACGGAGCCGGGAGCCGCCGCCGCGGGAGGAGCGGAGGCTTCGGGGAGCGCTTCCTGCCCACCGCCCGCACCGCCGGGCGCGGCAGCCCCAGCATGGAAGCCATCGCCAAGTACGACTTCAAAGCCACCGCGGATGACGAGCTGAGCTTCAAACGGGGCGATATCCTTAAGGTAAGCGGAGGGCTCGGGCTCGGGAGTTCCCTCTTTACCCCTGGGCTGTTCAGTTTCTCTCCGAGTCTCTTCCTGTCCGTCTGACCTGACCCTCTTTTGGGTCCCCAGAGAATGCCATCTCCTTTTTATACGGAGCCTCAAGATCTTCTAAATCCCAGCCACAAGCACCTCTGAGAGCAGGGGAGGCTGTTTTGTTTCAGTACAAAGCGTGCATCCCAAAGTCTCTCAATTCTCTCTTCTGAGATGGGAATATTTGAAAACTTAGTCATAAACACGGCAGCAAATAAGCAGAAGTACAAGATAAAGGGGAATTCAGTGTAGAGATTATGAGAGGAAGCCCCATGAAGTAATCAAGATCAATTTGGTATTCCTTTTCTTTGCCTCCTGCCAAGGATTCTAATATCAAAGAACAGTGATTGGATTATTTCTCAGTAGATAATCTTTTAGCATCAGTCTGTCAAATATTGAAGCTGAGTTTTATCTTCAGTTGTGATGAACTGGAGTGATAAGCTTGTGGCTGAATATATAATGGATCTGTGCAAATGTAAGTGAATGTTAGAGTGCATTAGAGGAATTTTGGTCTATAATTCTTTCAATATATCAAAGGCTTTTTAGGCTTTGTCTTGGCTATATTACAGGAATTTGAAAAAACAGTTGAATTTCTACAACTGTAATAAAACTGGACACACAGAACAAGCCCAAAATTTTATTTTGAGGAGGTAGTAAAACACAGAAATCCTCAGTGATTTGGCCTCGGTGAAGTGTAGCTCAGAGCTTTGTTTCTTCCAAGTAATAAGAGCCATACTGCAAAATGCTTTAATGGAATTCATTCATCATCACTATTTCTCCATAAAAGTGGGCTTCACCTTCCTAGTGTGATATCTTTGGTGTTAAGGTATCTTTAAGCTGGTTTTTTTTTCTAAAATACTTAGAGTAGAAGCAGTTTTGAGAGGTGCTTTTCCTGCAGATGTAAGGCTGTAACTGTGTGTATGCTGACAAATCAAGTCCTGCAGACCTCAGTGGGATTACTCATCTGCTCAGCATTTTTGCCAGGAAAGGGCTTGATTTTAACTACTATTTTAAAATAAGCTGGAAAAATAACCTGTATGGGTAAACCTAATATGTATCTTTTATAGTTGATATTTCAATTATGGCTTTGTTAAAAGTGTGAGGCAATAAACAGATAAAGATTGCTAAAGCATATCATGCTTTGAGATTTTAACTTCTAAAATGATTGCATCTCTGTGTGTCCTACACATCCCTGCCCCCCATAATTGGCCTAAAAACTCCTGTTAGACCTGTACACCTCAGTGCCACTGTGTGTGTAAATTACCAGGATATTTCCTAGGGCTATTTTTAAATGCTTGAGACTGTCAGAATTTTGGAAACCTTTTGTGATAACCTTGGGGTTTTTTTGTTTGTTTTTTTTTTGTTTGTTTGTTTGTTTTTTTGTTTTTGTTTTTTTAACCTGAGCTGTATTCTTCTATTTTGAGTTACTACTAGCTGCCCTCAACTTTTACAGTGTATTTGAAGTAGAGCATAGCTGAAGTCAGCTTTTAGAAAATGCTGAACAGGAAGGAAAAATGAAGTTTAATGAAATGCAGTTTATTGTAAAGTGTATTCTCAGCCATTTTCATTTAGTTTGGGGTAGAAGTTTAAGTACATTAAAAAATAAACTTTTCATTTGTTTAAAAATATGTTCTCTAAGAATTCAAGGAAAAAAAATTTTTTTTTGGTATTATTGAAGTACAGTCTGTGTTAAAAGTCTTGCATCTGTGCACAGTGGCTGATAGTAAGATGTTCTTGAGTCCTGTCTACTTGATGTCATCCCATAGATACAAGTTTTGTCACACAAATATAAACATGTATGCTGTTACACTGCATTAATAATTATATTTTTCCTAGAATTCAAAGGGTTTTCCTACTTTACCCTAAACTTAGGCTGAATACTTCCTCAAAGCATTTATGCACAGTTCTTCAATCTGTGTTTCCTTTCTTTTCAGTATATATTCATATGAAAATGTTCACAAATTTTACATGTTTACATCATTGATGCATAAACTGAGCCATAGAAATGGTAAATTGCTCATGATTATCACTAAAGTCAGTGGAAGCATCAGGACTTACAGGAATCCTTCAGCACATCGCTGAGCTGAGTTCTGTGCAGTGTGGTGAGATTCACTGTGTAAAGCTGGCAAATTTCAGACCAATAAATCCAAACAAGTTAGAACTGTTCCAGTTTACCCATACTGACAAACTTCTGTGGCACTTTATTGCTTTGAAAAATCTGTTTCACTTCAAATGTGTTTGTGGTTGTGGAAATTAATTTCCACCCAAAATGCCAGATCTCTTTGTTAGAGCTGTGCTCATGACTGAGAAATCTCAGGGTATCCCAGTCGTGTGCCCTGTGTGATGTCTCTCATTAACCAGGTCAATCCTCCTGTCCTCAAGGGAGTTGGGAAGAGAAATAAACTTGTAACATGTTGAATGCACCTGGACCCTTCAGTGTCCCTTGCTGGGGGCTCGTGTTATTCAAGCACAGTGAAGCCTTTTCACTGTGAGACACCTGTGGTGATGCACTCCAGAGAACCAGGTCTGGCCATTTGAGGATGGCACAGGATTGACTTGTAGCAAGATGTGTCACACAAGGCAAGAACAAAATCTCTTAACAGTTTAATTCCCAGTCCTTGGAAGTCCATGTTTCTCCCTGTGAGGAGAGAAGGCAGAGATGCCCAGTCTGGCTGCTCTGACCTCAGCAGATAACTTGCCTATGATGTCATGTGCCATTACTGCTGCCTACCCACAGATTCAGGACCTGATTGAATAGCACTTGAACTGGAGCCATTAAGCTGGTTGTTAGTAATCTTGTGGCTGGTTTCCAAAAGTGAGTGAAGATAGTTGACCTTTGGCTTGCAATTGTAAAACAGCTGAGTGAAGAGGAAAAGTGCTTGGCCTCTTTTTTTTTTTTTTTTTTTTGTGGGCACTACATGGTAAAAGCTGCTTCTATGGTTTCTGTAACCCTGGCAGGACAGTGGGTCCTCTGCTCTCTGCCTAGTGGCTGTGTAGCACCATGTGGTACTGCCTCTCAGGAGATGCTCACTGACAGCTTTCTCTAAACTTCACATACTCTAAATACTAGTTGCTGAGCCTTTTCCAAAGAAAGGCAGGATTGCTGCTTCCTTGTGACAGTGCTGCAGCTCTCTAGCTTCGTGCTTTTCCTGTTGCTTCACAGGAACTTGTTGGTGACTGGGGTCCTGCTGGGAGGGGTGAAGGTGGCCCATCCTGTTAATTAAAAAGTAAATAAGGAAGCTGAGGAATTCCTACCTGAGAGATTCCTACTTGAAATCTTGAATTACTCTTTTTTCACTTCGAACAGTTTACAGTTGTCCTGATGCCTTTACAGTCTTCACCCCTTTTTTTTCTGTATATATTGAAGTTTGGAGGAGTTAAATTCAGTCTTGGTATTTGTTACTCAGGTTTTATGTCCCCCAAAACTATCAGCCTTCTTGCTAAGTGCCAAATACTCAGATCTAAAGTGTATCTAATACATGTTGATGGTTTGGCAGGAACCAGGAGGAGAAAAGAGAAGAAAAATCACATTCTTTGTCATCTCATTGTAATTTCTTTACTCCTAAATCTAATCAGAAGTGTAAAGTTAAAGCCATGGGGCTCTGAGAACTGTTTCTGTGGGGTTAATGTAGGAGCACTAAACATATTAATTAATATTTTACATGTTAAAATTGTTTTGTCTTTAAACCGTAAACTACTGCTCCATTTCCTCTTTCTCTTTTGTCATAGGGTTTGGGCATAGCTGGAAAGTGTTTTTCTGAAGAAGTGAATAATCTACTTTTCCCAGTAGATGTCATCATAATTAATTCAGGGGTGCTTAGAGATTGTTTTTATGACTCAAACTATCCAGGTGGTGTTTTAAGTAAAAGGTCATCATCTTGAATTCTGAGGTTTTTGCTTTTGTGTGATACTCAAACCAGCTTCCTTATGTGCTAAAAGAAGATTTAGATTTCCTTGATAGGATTTTGGTCACTTCACAATTTGGTTCAGCCAAGTCAAGATTACTTTTCCCGTTCTGGTCGTACACGTGACAGTCGTCACAGGTTCTGTCCTCAGGAGTGTTTGTCACCACACTTATTTTCTTTGTCAGCCCTTAAGAGGATTGAGTGTTTGCTAACAGTTGATGCTGAGATGGCATTTTCAGTTCCTGCATGAAAACCATTTTTCTGTGTCAGAATAGAGTGGAACAGTTTCAAATAGAGGCAGGACGATGATAAATGAGGGGAGCAATGTCTCCCTGCTGCTCTTTCCCCTCCCTGCTCTGTGACTTCACCTGCATTGGCTGTTGTGTCGTGGTGTCTGTCCTACAGAACAGAAGATCAAGGCATGCTGAAGAGATGTGCCAGTATTTTTCCTGGTTTGAGTGAAGCTGTCTTCACATTCATCTTTCCTCTCCCTTCTTTACACACTCCTCCATCATTTCCCATTTGTTGTAATGGGATGGACTCTGTGTGGTCTTGATGATTTTAATGTGTGAGAAACAATTTTCTGAATTAATGATTCAGCCAAATTGCAAACACTATGTGCTTTATCGTGAAATAGGTCAAATATTAGAATAGGTTGCCCAGAAAAGTTGTGGAATCCCCATCCTTGGAGATACCCAGACACATCCCTGAGCACTCTAATCTAATTAGACTGCTTTGAGCAGGAGGGGTCTTGGGTGTCTTCCAGAGGCCCTTCCAAGCTCCATTATTCTGTGACTTAGCAGTGAGTGGCAGCTCTGCTGTGTGTGATGGTTGATTTGTAGAGGTGTGCTTAGGTCATGTTCCCTGGCAGGTGGCCTTGAATTAAGATGATAATTGCCATCAATATGTGATTGATATTGCAGTCTAAGGTGGCAAAACTGTCAGAACACTACAGAGACATAAAACCGAGTACAGTTACCTGAAATGTAGTTGATTTGGCAGCCTGGCAGTTGGAGATCTGTGTCA